TGTGATACAAAAAAAAAAAAAAAAGAAAAACAATGAAGTTAAATGTTTATTATGAGATTTAACTTTTTAAACAACGACTTTGGTTATCTGGAGAATCCCAAAATAAGAATTTAATTGCCCGGACCGTCATAGGACATTTATAAATTCTGTGACTCCCGTGGCTCTTGAGAGAAGAGTGTAGCTCTTGTGCAGCTGTCAGTGCCAGCAAGTCAGAAGAGAAAGCCGTTCCCGGGCCTGCACGGAGCCCTGCTCCTCAGGCTGCTTAGGGACAGAAGCAGATCTGTGCCTGTCCGATAGCACATCCTCTGAAGTCTGTTAAGTTTCTTGTTTTGTTTTTTAAGTGCATTGAAATCTTAAGCTATAAAGCACCGCATGGCTTGGCTCTAAATGTAGTAGTGTAAGAAAAAACTTTAAGCCACCTATTAGAGTATGCTTTAAACCTTTGTTTGGTTTATTGTCTTCAGTTTTGCTAAGAAATATGGGCTGCCTTGCACACATTTTTGCTATTCGTTGATAGCATAGTTGTATAATAAATAAAATGCTGTGAGTGTTCAGTAGGTTGTAGCTTGCATTTTAACTCTAGAAAACTGTGTAAAGGGACTGCTCTGAGGGCTACAGCTAACAATGGACAGCATGAGGCACAGGCTCAAGAGATTTTCTTCCCTTTTTTTACTTATGAGGTCTAAGTTTTCCTTCTTTATAGTACTTGCTTTTAATGTTTCCTCTATCTAGAGCTGATATTTCTGAAGGAAAGAAAGTTAATTCTCAGGAATTTTGTAAGTCGGTGTTTTCTTTTATTCTCATTTCAGTTTCTAGTCAGCTTTAAATGAGATTAGTGAAAGATAAAAATAAATCTTTAAAAAAGAAAGTAGCTGGAGGCTTAGGTTTTCTCTGTGTTGGCCCACCTTAATTATAGAAGTTTAACATTTATGTAACTTCTTAAAAATCATGTTTTTGAATTGATTTCAGAGACACTTCTTTCTTAAAACTAAAATGTTAAAAATATTTGGAGATGAGTTCTTTATGCATAAATGAAAATAATGTTTATTTTAAATTAGTGTTGTAGTGTGCTACAAAAATTTTAGGAATAGTTCATATCTAGCATAATAGGAAGGACCTCTGAAATAATTAAATAAGCAACCATAGAAAACAAAGCCCAGAAAGGTGGCTGTAAGGAAATAAGATCCTGTTCCTAATATGTATGGATCAAAACTAGTGTTTGGTTTTTTTCTGTATACCTGGTCCTTTTTAGCTGAATGACATAAAGTTGTTACTGTACCAACAGCTCCAGAAGTCTTTTCCTAATAGAATGAACCATTAAAAAAAAAAACATTCAGGTCCAACTTCAGTTTAAAAATTAGGAAATTGGGGTCAGGGACATAGCTCAGTAGCGTTGCCGCCTGCCTTCAAAGTGCAAGGTCCTGAGTTCGATCCCTGGTACTGCAAAATAAATAAATTAATTAATAAATAAATTAATTAATTAAAAATTAGGAAATTGGTACTGTTAGGTAGCTTTATGCCTAGAATGTAAAGGTTATTCCATTACATCATAAATTCACCCATATTGAACCACATCAGAAATATACCTTAAGTTGCTAACACTTATAGCCTAGCAGTTTTACTCCTGAAATGAATGTAACCAGATATTCATGGAATTAGGTTGACTAATAAAAATAATTACATAATATAAGAAAACAAATATTTGTCACCACACCACAGTGAAAGAGAACTCTTAGGAAAATGTTCTATTAAAGCTGGGAAACTTGAATATTAGAAGATAAAGGTAGCAATCTAAATTAATATTTTCCTTCAGTTTTCACATGTATTTACATATTTATGTATAAAAGAGACAATTTAAAATTTGTTCTCAAGTGAATTATTTTATAATTTGAATAAAAGCTGTTATATCAGATCTGGCTATAGTAAATAATAAATGGAAGCAAGTAAATTTGAGGCTGACTTTTAGTGAATACTCAGAATACTAGTCTAGTTTACCACCCAGATTTCTATAGAACTGTATTGACACCTGAACTGTTTCCGTGCTTCCTCTGGGTTTTTCTTCCTTGGTGCAGGCATTTCTTAATTTTTACTTGAGATTTAATCTCTGCTTCATTTCTTCTTCCTTTAAAAAAAAATAGTGGGGCCAGGGATTTAGCTCAGTGGTTCCGCCGCCTGCCTTGCAAGCCCAAGGACCTGAGTTCAATCCCTGGTACCAAAAAAAAAGTGGTTAAATATTTCTGTGTGAAAGTGAAATTGGCAAAAATTAAGAGAAATTTTGAAAATGATTTTAAGCTTAAAATTTGCACCTTCTTGTCCATTTGCAACTTGGCTTGCTGTAGTGCTTTGCAAACTTTCGGTTAAGATTTACTCTGTCATTCATAAATTATGGCAAATATACCAGGGCCAAATTAGCCATTAAATAAGTTCTCACACATAATTCCCTGTGTCCATGTATTTCACTAATCACTTACCTCCTGTGCAGTGCCAACTAATTTTGTGGTATCTTTTCCCCTTATTTAAATTGGTCCTAATTTCTTTTTACTTCTGTCCTTTCTCCCCCTTTGATAGCTTCTCTTGCCTCTTGCTGCAAGAATGTCTGAGGAGTCTTACTTTGAATCTAAGACAGAGGAGTCAAACAGTGCAGAGATGTCATGTCAGATCACAGCAGCAAGTAACGGGGAGGGACATGGCATGAACCCAGGTCTGCAGGCCATGATGCTGATGGGCTTTGGGGATATCTTCTCAATGAACAAAGCAGGAGCGGTGCTGCATGCTGGGATGCAGATAAACATGCAAGCCAAGCAGAATTCTTCCAAAACCACATCTAAGAGAAGGGGAAGGAAAGTCAACATGGCCCTGGGGTTCAGTGATTTTGACTTGTCAGAAGGTGATGATGATGATGATGATGGTGAGGAGGAGAATGACCTGGATAATAATAGTGAATGAAAGCAGAAAGAAAACTAAGAAAATTGGAAATGTTCAGAAAAAATAAAAGTATGTGCTATCTCAGTCTGTACAAAAACAGTTAAGGAGGCAGAAAACCAAGCACTGCATTTTTAGGTCAGTTATATTTACAGGACAGTAATTCACTTTTTACTTATTTTTGCTTACAGAAAAGGAGGGGGATTAAGCCAAAGGTATATTTATGAATCAGCAAATGTGGTGCCTGATTATAGAAATTTATGCTTCTGTACAATATAGTAATGTAATGATATTCTGGCTTTTTCTTCTTAATGAATATTTTATAATTTGTATTTGACTTTATTTTATTACCTTTATTCAGCTCGTTAAGAAAACTTACATTTTGAACAAGCACCTTTTACTCCTAATTCTTCTTTGACACTTGGTTCTTCTGTAAGGCACTATATTTTTTTCTCAAGACAATATAATGTCAGAAATGATTGATAGTGACTACAAAATCCAGCTACAAGAAAATGAGATAAAGGGTTATAACAAAAGGCTTCTTCAGAAATAACCTAAGTGCCAAGAATTTTTCCATACTAAATAGTACAGCTACCCAAAGTAAAACCCAGGAGGTGTTCTCAGTAATACATTTGAGGGAAGAAGACTCTGATTTGAAGCCAACTGCAGAAGCCACAAGCTTGCATTCCAGTGCTATTCCTGGAAACTTCTTAACAACACCACACTGCATCCGAGGCTTAACTTGTACTTTATACACACACATGCGCGCGCACAGTCTTAAAGGGATGTCACCAGGTGTGCTTATGCTGAGCATTGGCCTGCTCTGCATGCCCAGTAAGGCATGCTACGTGCTTGTTTGTTTCTTTGTTTTCCAGAGGGGCATAACAATCCCGGATTCTTAATGTATGTGTCCATATCTTAAGAAGGAAATTAAATATTATAAAAAGAATAACAAAGACACATTATCCTCGCTGAGGCAAAAGCTCACTGTAAAGTGTCCTTTCTGTATCAGATCTAGCTTTCCAGAATTGTCTTTTTTTAATCCTGCTCCTGTATGCTGGTGTTTTAGAAAAATAGGTACAGGTGCTGCTCCGAAACCTTGGCCACTCAGAATATTTTCTAAGTACTATCGCATTTGTCAAAGCATGTTTAACCTATGAGACATTTTAAAATGGTAATTAGGTAAGAAAGGCAAAAGAACAAAGGTCTTTTTAAAAAATCTGAACTAGAAAGCAGTATCAATTTGACTCTTAAGCTAAAATAATTTTGGTGGCTCTTTATATGGACATTTTAAGCAAGGATACAGATGTTCCTAATACATCTCTAAGTATATTTTACCATGAAAAGTCTTGGAATTTGAAATACAGTTTGCTTCTAATCCCTACTGAAAGCTGAAAAACACTATCAAATGATCAATATGTCATGATAACTTTATTTGGGGAGAAATAACTGGTAGTATGTTCTGAGTTCTGCTTTGCTGTTGTGGTCTTGGAAAAATGCAATCTCCATGGGTCTGTTTGTTCATCATTAACTTGGGAATAATGATAACCTACTTCAGAACACTGTCGTGAGAATTACAAGAAATAATATGAGAAGTGCTTAACACAGTACCAGGCCCATGGTGAATGGCCAGGTAATGTCAGCTGCTATTGTGCTAATGAGAAGGCACAGACAAACAAGTAGTTTCCATACCCTTCTGGAAAACTAAACTATGAATTTCAAGTGATACTTGCTTAGTCCAAAATGAAATTAAAAGTGGAAAGCATTCAATAAAGATGAAGAGACCATTATTAGAATGTAAGCCGTACAAACAGATGCAATCCAGTTGCTCTTTGGAAAGTGTGAGCCCTGGCCAGGTGCAGCTGGTGTGGGGTGTTGCAGGCTGCCACCACCCACAGGTAGAGTAAACACAGAAGGAGCCCGCAAAGCTTTTCCCTAGAAAATAGGTCCCCCTCACAGCTGCTCTGCTTTACTCCTCTGTCTGTGCACACATAGACCCACATGCATGTGCACATGCATGGCCAGCTTGTGCTCAGACAGAGGTACTTCCTGACTTCAGCCAGCCACTCAGGCAGAAAAGTGATGGAGAGAAGCAGATGGGGGATGACTTCCACTCCCTACTTCCCAGGAGGTCCTGACCAGGGGCCCCGATGAAGAGAGCAGAAGGCATGGGGCTCTAAATCCTCTTACGCATCTTCAGGCAAAAGCTGGCGTCATTTGTTCAGCTGATACTCTTGGAGGCTCCTCTCTGTGCCTGTACTGTTCTAAGAGCAGCTAGATGAAAACCTTTGGGCTTGTGGTGCTTACACACTAGAGCTTACGTGTTAGTGAGAGGAGTTCGACAATCAACACAGCGCCTCATTGTAATATGTTAGCGTCCACTAAGTGCATGTGAAGCAGAGACGGACGATGAGGCCAGAGCGGGGTGTGGAGGTTTTTAGTGTGGCCAAGGAAGGACCCACTGATGGTCACATGAGCAAAACTGAGGAGGGTGAGGGGATCTCAGCGTGGCAGGATCTTCATGGGTTATGTCAATATAATCCTCGCCTTTCACTTGAGAGTAGTCAGGCACAGGTTTAGAACATTTAACCAGAATGAAACTGATGCCTTGATATTTACATATAAACCCATATGGTTACGTATAGTTTGGGTGCATTAAAAGTAACGAAATAGGGCCAAAAGAGAAAAGTTACAGGACTCTATACCAAGACCCAGGTGCACCATTACTGAGGTAAGATTTCCCTCATCTTTTAGTTGCTACTGTTTTCCTCACCAATATTCAGAAAATGTTCATGGCTCAACATTCTGCCATCTAGAAACCACAAGGATTTAGGGTAGAACAGAGTTGTCCCCAGAGAGGAGCTTGTGGTTTTCCTCTACCTGGAATTATGTTTGGCATTGGCTGCTTTACCTTCTGTTCCAAATCATTGTCCTTCTAGTGGTTTGCAAAACATGAAAACATCCCTGAACTCCAAATTGCACAATTTTATATTCTCACTCTATCTGTGAAGATTATTTAGAAGACTTTAGAGTCTATTAATTTTATTGATTTTATTTTTTTAATGCCTGCCAATTTTTAAATGTTTATTAATTAAAAATGTCCACTATATGCACAATTTCTAGAGATGATGTTAATTGTACAGTTTATAATTCACTTTACACATTAATTTTTCAAATGGCAAAATATCAGTGTTAGATTTAGTTCTGATTTCTTGACTTACAAGAATGTACATTTCAAAAGAGAAGAGTTAAAGAAACACTTAGAAATGTGAAGATTCAAAATGAAGATTGAAATGCCAAATTATGGTAATAATTATGAGAGTCATACATTTGAAACTCCTTTTTTTTCCTTTGTGCAGAAAGTTGAATGTGTAAAGTTTGATACGACCCTACCAGGGCTTCTCACCTGGCATAGTGCCATCACCTAATGGCATTTGTGGGTGCTGGGGCACATTTTCAGTTATCACAGTGAATGGGGCAGCGTTTAGTGCCCACTGCCAAGACCTAACATCCTGCATGGCAGGGACATTCTCACCTTGTGAAAAATTCCATTCCAAATACCATTAACCTGTCTCTTCCCCGCTGAGAAACATGTTACACCTGGCAGTTTTAGAGTTGCACCTCTATTTATTTTCCCAAACAAAATTACCCAAGCCAGAACAAAACCAAAATACATTTTCAGAACTACAACTACACATCTGAGTTTTGTCAGTTTATGCCTTTATCCCAAATCACCAATTGTGGAAAAAATGGCTTCTTCCACCTTAAGAATGCTGCTGGCCACTTTATGAAATAGCCAGATTCACCTGAAAGGGGTCACTCTCCAATTACAGTGATTCCACAATGCATAAAAAGAGAAAAACTACACTGAGGTAGCTGTAGTTCTGCAAAGTAGATGAATTTAAAAGCTACCTTTTCTAACAGCCATCTTATTGAAGTAAAATCACATTGTAATAATTTACATAGCTGATGAGAATAGAGTGGAGACATATAGCACACAATTTTTGTTCCTATGGAAATATTGAGGGCTGGATTTTTGGCCACTGATTTTTTTTTTAACATGCAGTGGATTTTTTAGACCTTAACACCAGCTCAGGTATTTAAAGTTGATCCCCATCAAAATAAAACAAATTGCGGGGTGGTGAGGGTCTAGGAGAGATCCAGAGTGACATCTCTTTTCTTTAGACTGGTAAGAGTTGTATGAAAGAAAGCTTTAAAACTTGGTCTTAGTTAAATATTGATATTCTTTTTACTTTTATTACACTATACTTGTTGCAGCCTTGTGTAAAAACAAATAGAGTTTCACCATATCACACATGATAGAGCATAAGTTTTCTATAATTGGGCACCTTTTGATGCATTTGTGTAAGACTTTTCCTGTTTAGATTTTAAGCATTGCCAGACTCTGCTCTGCTCTTCTGATTCTAGCATAGCCTAATAGCATTAGATGCAGCATTTCTATGATGAAAAATGAGTGTTTGTTAGAAACTGGGGAATCGCCATGTTTTCCGAGACCCCAACTTCATATGCACTCTTTTGCTTTTGAGAAGCTTTCTGGCATGTGATTATTTACTTCAGAGCTAGAATTTCAGGCACCTATATTAATTATTTTACGTTGTGTGCAGAACAGTATATCTTTTAATGTCAGATATAATACACTGCACATACTGCTTTTGCACTCTTAAATTTTTTTGTATTAAATAATAGAAAATATTTGTATTCTTTGGGTGTGAGCTTTGAATAGATGCCATTATCACTTTATTGTTGTTTTTTTAACAAAAACCTTCTCTTACTTATTCTATTGCAATGTTATTCTGAGCAAGTCCTATGCCAAGTATCATGTATAATGTTTGTATGCAAGATTAAATTTTACTCTTATGTGGTAAGACTACTCAGTTACTGACTTCATAGTTGGAATTTGATATTCCAGCACAGAATCCACAATGTATTCAGAAATCCAGGTTGGTGTCATACATTTCATTTTGATGTGAACTTTTCTTTGCTTTCTTTTGTTCTAAGACTCCATTTTGCAATAAACGTTTTGACAGTAAATCCCTTTGTTATGTGTTGCTGTGTATATAAGATCTTTGTTAGACTAAACCTGCAACATCTTTTGAAGGAATCCTTGTCACACACATACACGTGAGTGTTACCTTTTCTTTCCTGAAGTCAGTTGGAGTGTAAATAACAAATTGTAAAGTCATGGGGCATCCATGAGGGATTTTTTTTATCCACAAAGACAGAAGGCTTAGAAATCATCCTACAGCAAATACACTGATACGTGAACAAGGCACAGAAACATGAAAGAAATAGTAAGCCACTGTATGGCTGGAGATCATTAACTCCTATCCCTGTCTTGCCAAATCCAAACTGTCTTGCAGCAGTGCCTGGCCCCAGCCTTCTTCTCACTGATTTTAATAAGCACCATGCCGAGAACCCTGTAGGAGTATCAGATTGAGTCCAGTGTCTTTCCCTTGGTGTCGTGTGGATAACCCATCCTCAGAGTGCAAGAACTCTTCTCTCCTTCTGACGTTAAAGCCAAAGATGTTGGTTTCATTTGCAGCCTTTATTCTGGTCAAGAAATACTTGTTTCTCAGTTTTGTTTGGCACAGCATTTGGAAATCGTATAAAAATCAAAACACCATGCTCACTTTGGCGGCACATATACTAAAAATCAAAACACCATATATAAACCCCATTTCCTGTAAAAGCCAGCCTTGATGCAGGGAAATATTTCTGTAATGCAGTCTGGTTTTCTTGAACTAATCAAACATTCCTCATTTCATATTTTTTCCTGTGATGGGAGAAGGGAATGACATGTTTCTGCAGCTGTCTCCAAATGCCCTATGAGGAAATAAAACTTGTCATGTATTTTCTCTGATTGAGTTCAGCTTTACACTGGATTCCTCAAGTCTTTCGCCTTGCCACATTGTTAAAGTCTATGTGTGTGTTGGATGATCCCCACATACATCAAGTGTTTCAGAGGGGGAAGGGAATCAAGGCACATAGGGGTAGCAGAGTATTTTTTACTATATTACTCAAACTCTACATACTGATTATTAGCCAGCAGAATTTTTAAAAAACTAAGGACTCCCCCTTCTGAGTCTGCCATATTTCTCCTTCCTCCCACATGAGCTCACTGCATCCTCTGCTCCAGTTAGGTAAACTTGCCACATCCATTCTCCTCCTCCTCCTCCCTTCTCCCACCATTGCTAGTGTTTTCCCATGTTGCTTCTCTTCACCTGGAATCACCTCTCTCCTTCCAGCCCTGCAGTACCCAGCCCAAGCCAGTGCGCTTTCCATTTCTCCATGCCTTGTTACAGCCCTCAGGAATACATGAGGTTTTGTATGCCCATACCTCTTGAACTCCTGGCCAGAGAAGTTAGTATTTTAGTACATGCACCCTTCAGTTTTTTCATTCTACAAAATTTTTCACAAAAACATACCAGGTAGTATACACTGGGCACTGAGTAAGCCATGATGAAGGTTGTCTTAGACTCCCCCTTGTATAATCCCACCTATTTTTCAGTTCTGTTAAAAGCTTTAAAGGGGCTGTACCTAGCAGAGTTTTAACTATATAAAATAACTATTTTATTAACTATTTTAACTATATAAAATAAATACTTATAGCTTAGGAAGAGTAACTCAGCCACCCTGTCATCATTTTACCCATAGTAAAAGCAATGAAATTCACCCTTTTTTCAAGTCACCCACCAAAAACCATTACTGCTAACAGAGGTTGGGTGATACTTTAGCATGTTATCTCGTAAGTGACTCAAACATTTTGGCAACTCAAAAAGCTAGTCAAAGCTAATGGCTCTACCAAACTCTAATTTGAGCCATAGAACACAGCTTTTCAGGTATGTGAACATGTATCGTTTACCTGTGGCTATGGAGCATCTACTGAAGTGAGAAGCTCTTTGGCTGTGAAGACATTATGGGCTGATGTGTTCTGCAAGCCATTCCTGCCCATGTACCTGTCAGGGAGGTGTTTTAGGTTGTGTTAGGGTGACTGCACCTGGGTTTCTTAGGACAGTTTCAGTTCCATGCATCTTTCCTTCATGTCTCTCCATACTTGGTTTTAAAAATATAGTGCAACTGAGATATTTAAACACTTAGAAATCCCCCTGTGAAAACAGCATAATAAATCATAATAAAACATCTAGTTATCCAGTGGTTGGTTTGAAATTTTTGTTTATAAAACAGTCCTATATTGGCTGAGAATTCTGAAGAAAGCTCTGGTGTCTGACTAATGTCAAAAATTCCCTGACTGCTACAGCCCTATTATGCTATATAAGACCAATCCTGGTGTGCAAGAACCAAGAAGTATACCAAGTTGTGCAAAGTCCTGCCTGGAAAGCTCACAAAGTACAATAATTGTGCATTATTGGCTTCTGGAGCCAAAATCCTTGGAGCCCTGAGAACTTCTTAGCGTCAGGGAAATTCTTTTTCCCATTCATCCAACCTGCAGGAGGAACTGAACCAGATCAACACTTGAGAGCTAAGGGACCCCAGAGGATAAAACCAAAAAGACAAGGATAATATTACTGTTTTTTTTTTTTTCATTTCATTCATATTTCCTACGCAGCTGCTGCCTTCCTTTGAGATTAGTACATGGACTGAAGACGACGTGGTAAGCCACTTCTCTTGATGCCTCACTGGGCCTGGGCAGGTATTTCAGACATTTGTCCACAAGTTTAAAATACAGCTAGTGGGATTTGGGCCATAGAGAAGTCTATCTAGCAGAAGTTAACAAATTCTACTCTTCTCTGGTTTCAGTAATGATTGCAATCTCAATAGCAACGCAAGTTTCTCCTCCAGTCTTGTAAGAGGATCCCACCTTCCTATTGACTCTAAAAATACTCTAGAATACAATAATAAATAGCGATAACAAAATAAGAACAGTGACTTAGAAAACCAAATGAACAAACGTGAAAAATAAATTCATCTTAAACTTTCCTGAAAACCCAGGCATGGACTGAGCCATGTGAAGAGGATCTGCTAACGGCAGTGCTGGGCTGGGGCTGCCCTGCATGGTGTGTCCTTCCCACCTTAGGCCTGCTCACAACGTCACAACATCATGTTGGCTGTTGTCCTCAGGCCTCTCCCAAGAGGAGTGGACACACTGATCCCAGACATCCTCTGCGGCCATAGCCAGAGGAGCTCCCTGTGTCTAGGAGGGTGTGGGCAGATATTTGAGTCCCAAAAAGGTCTTACATGGCTCCACACTCTGGGTAGAAAGAAGCCCTGAAGAACAGTGTTCCTTCTTTGCCTGTTACATCTCCAAATCTGTTTCCTAAGTAATAAAAATAGGCATGAGAATTCCTGATCAGAGACTACCGGGACTTCTGCCTGTCCAGGTCCAATTTACAAGCTCAAAGGGTATCATTAAATGAAGAAAAGATGGAGCACTTAGCAGGGACAGGCTCCACCCCAGGGAACAGACTTACTACTAGAAATTCTGCAGAAGGTCTGTTTATTTAACAACTGGGTCTGTGAGCCAG